AAAAAATGTCCACTGGAAGGTCAAATTAAATGTTTATGAGCGTTTAAGAGGACGTAACACTAGTATCTGTTGTCTCCATCTTACCAGTGCGTAATATAGCAAAATTACGCTCGGCAGAACACTAGTAGCTCCTTTAGTTTAAAAATTAGAGTGAATCGACCTATTATGAAACTTGATGGTTAAAATATTATCTGTGTATGTACGTTGGTCTTTTGCAATAATTCAATTTTTAAGTGAGTTATGACCATTTTTAATTTATCGTATATTATATACATATAACTTCCCAAAAATTTGAATTATCGTAAAAAGCAACGTACAAACACAGATGATGTTCTTACCATCAAGTTCCAAAATAGGTCAATTCACTCTAATTTTTAAACTAAAGGAGCTACAAGTATTCTGCTGAGCATAAATTTGCTGTATAACGTACTGGTATGACGGAGACAACAAATACCAGTATTACGTCCTCTTAAAGTTCAAACTTTTACATTGGATACTAACTAGATTTCTCATGTAACGATTTTCTTATTTTGTTGTACTTCAAAATCAAATAACCAAAATTTACCCCAAATATTTATTTCATCATTATCTATACTTGATAAAATGTTCAAAGTATTTTATCTCGTTTTTAGTTTAAGTACATTTAAAGTAAAAGGCCCTCCTAATACAATTAATATATTCAATATTAAATTTGTTTACAGCTTGATTTGTTACATTTCAAACTATAAATTTCATATACTGTATAGACAGAGTATGAACAGTGATAAACATACATAACATTTGGTTCGAAATTTCAGATGTTATACTAATTAATAGTACAAATATATCATTAATTAATTATCACAGGTGTGAAACTATACAGAACGATAATTGATAAGTAATATTTATCAAATTCATACAGGCTATTAATAGCTATAGGCACCGTCATATAATTCATATTCTACTTAACATTGAATATTTATGTGCATTTGCTTAATACTTATATGAGTACATCTTACATTCTATATTTTACAGATAAATATCATTAGTCATTTCTAAAAATAAAATGACAAAAACAATGAAACAATGATGCATAGGGAGAAGTAGTGCTAACACAAACCTCCCTCATGTTTGAGGGCCAAAACCATAAAATAAAAGATATACCAAATGAAGAATAGAATATTTAAAATGTAATGGTATAAAACAGAGGTTCTTAACCTGCGGTCCGCGGCTCCCTGGGGGTCCGCAATACTTATGTCGGGGGTCTGTGGCAGCCTTAACACCTAACATAAGTCAATATGTGACAATATAAGAAAAATTTTAGGGGGCCCATAATTTCCAAAAATCTTTCATCAGGGGTCCGTGTTTTACAAAAGGTTAAGAACTGCTGGTATAAAATATACAAGATAATGTAACCGATAAAATAATTTATTTAATGCTCACTTAGATGAAATGATGTCATTTAGTGTGAGTCAGAAGTAGTAAGACCTATTTTTTATTTATTTATTTTACCATACATTAAATAACTCAAAATAACTTTTATGAGACATCCTTACATTTATCAAAATAAACAATATATCTGTAATAAAAAAATAAAAATGGACCATATTTTTATAATTCAATTAATTTTAGTTTCTTGATAATTATTTCTACAAAAATGTATTTAATTTTTAAACAGCAAAGGAACTTCATGCAGGCCATCAAAGAATAACAAAAAATGTTAAAACCGTATTTGTCAGAACACATGAAAATGTTATAGTAAAATATTCTATACCAATTCACAATGTATATAGTCTTACAAAGAACGATATAGTATTTGATTTTTTAAGGAAGTCTAATAAAGTTCTTGTTATCTCAGAAGCAACAAAAAAAACAAAGAGCATCTTATGACTCACTCTATCATATATACTTTGTAAAAAAAAAAAAACAGATTATATTATATATTAAATTTAGATATCAACTTAGTGTACAATTTAAAAAAAAATGTATGTTAAAAAATTCTAGGTATGCTGATAATTTAAAGGCTATTTAGTATAAGTATTAGTATAACATATTATTTATTGTAATTTTAGTTTCAAATTCTTGAAAAGACAAATATTTGGAATAACTATACGAATTTTGAATTTTTAATATTTTTTTTTGATGGATACTTTACTTTTTTGAGCCTCAGAAGTGTCTCATTTTATTTATTTGAACTCCAGTTTTTGATGAATATATTTTGATTTTATAAGTAAGCTCCTTATGCTTAGGAAAAACTATAAACAGATTGTAAATGTAAAAGAAATAAGGAAATTTAAACGAACACAATTTTAACTGATTTCTGATCAGAATATTATTTTTTAGTGCTAAAAATATTGGTATGATAATTTTTTAACGGTTACAATTTGACCAATCCATCAACTGCAGTATAACATTGTACAGCTTATTTTAAAGGTATACAATTGGAGTAAGTTTTCTTTTTTAGATAAATTATTAAAAAAGTTTCAAATATATTGGATGACCGCAAAAACTGAGTACACTTTATAACTCAGTACCCTATACATATTTTAGAATTCTATCTTAAGATTGATGTAGTATAAAGATATAGTCTAGTTTTGTGTCACATAAACATAATTTAAAAATATGTATAGGGTACTGATTAAAATAGGTAATTTAATTACACAGTGTTCCCTGTTTTCACGGTCACACGGTATATAAATATAAAAACATTTGAAACATAAGCGGAAATATGAATAAAATCCATTTTGCACGTGCCATTTATTGGGGATAAGCTGACATATTTAATTTTAAATCGAAATGTTTATTAATAGGTAATACAAAATATCTCACTTGCATAACCTTGAATATAAAATTGATGGATATTATATTCTTAAATATCTTATAAATTAATGTAATTCGAGAATAAGCCAAAATATATTTCCTTGACTACCTGTACATGCTATTTAAATTTAAGTTATCATAAGAATTAGATATGAAAATACCACACCATTAACAGATAGCCACTTTAAATAAAATTATGTTTATCTAAAAAAAGTAAACAGAGTGAGAATCTAACATGAAGACAGAACAGATGATAGGTAGTGAAAGTACAACATATTAATACCAATACATTTTAAGCTAATATATTATATATCTAGGTATCTTTTTTATAAGTAATACTTTGAATACTGAGGTCATAAACATTTTCTGACATATTCCATTGAAGCTTATACTTTTATAATATTTACATTTACCATCCATTTATTGCACACCAATATACCATCAAATAATATGCCTAAACTTGAAAATAATTATTGCATCTCTTTTCTTTGGTAGATTAATAAATTCAGTCACGCTTAAAACAATCAAACAAATTAAAATATGTTCAATTTAATTATAAACAAATTATAAAACAATACATTTCTACCATTTTTCATTTTAAAGTAAAAAACAATTTTTTTTTTCTTGTGTATTAAAATGTTGAGAAATGAAAAAATATGACCGTTGTATGAACAAAATAAATAATACAATATAAATAAGAAATATAGGCTGAATATTCTTTAAACTTTAAAATATGCTCTAATATGCACAAAACATTTTTTTATACAAATTCTGTACAGAATAACTTATCCAGATTATTAACCTCAGTAGAGCTGCATAAAACCAAAAAATATATATGTAAAAACTTACAAATCTGCTCTCTAATCATAATAGATGCCTATTAGTATCAGCATTTAGTTAAAAAAGTATTTTTTTTAACATGATATGCTTTTAAAAGTTTAAACTAATTACAAATTTATTTAAATCTTAAGTTTCTAAGTTTAAAAATAACCTAAACAATATATACGTATAGTGAAATTCTCGGAAAGTAATAATAATATATGATATAATACAAAATCAAAATAGTATCATTAGTCCATGATCAATAATACTTATAAAACAAATTTTAATTTTCTAATTCTTAAAAACTTACTGAATTAATTCAATGCGAATAAACTTATAAGTCTTTAGCTCAATATTAAATTTACAATATTAATTTACTGACTTTAGGCTAATAATGTAGACACACTAATAGGGGGGAAAAAGAAACAACAACAATTTATACTAACAGTGTCTCATTAGTTTTGAAATTTTAATTAAACTTTGTCACAAATACCTAATGGAAATAAAAAAATTATCCTAATGGTTAAAACTTTCTATTAGTTTAACATACATTACAACTTTGTGGTTAGTAGAAGTTTAAAAAATATTTATGAATAAAATCAGAACATAAACAGATACAAAAATAGTCTATGCTTAGAAAAAATAAATGGAAATCTGCAAGCATTAAAATAATTTCTATTAATGTTAACCGACAAGAATAATATTAGTAAAATAATGTTTAACACTTCTTAATTACCAAATGATTAGGAGTTGGTAATTTTGTTTTATACTAAACACTAAAGACGAAATCATTAACTATATACAGACATTATTGATAGGGATACTATTATTAACATTTAAACTTAAATTCTGTTCCAACAATTATTTGGGAGGGCCTAAGAGGGTAAGGATCTTTTAACCACTATTTCCATTTTACAGTCATATTAAACACATAAGATAATCAGTTATTAGGCAATAATATTATAATAAATGCAATAAATCACAATAAAAAAAAAAAATGAATTCTAGATACAAATTTTTTAAATTAAAAATTATAATATATAAGTTTACTATTGCGGTACCTACCTATAACCATTCATAATATTTTACTTCATAACTGGAAGTTACAAGTCACTTTCTCCCATGCCAGATATAAAAAATATATGATACTATGTTATAATTTAGAACTAGTTTATTTTATCCAAATCTAACGTTATTTATTAATTTAGTATAAAAAACATATTATAAACCGCAGGTAAAAACACTTCTTATTATACGATAGTATACTAACACCCATATTTACCAAAATTATAATCATGTGGGTATTTACATGCTTATGCATACTACATTACTAATAAAATAATAAATGTAGATAGACAATCTTCAAAAAAAAACCTTACCTGGATGAAGTATCACTAAAACTTCCGCCATCCAGTAAACGAACTTTGGCAAACAACACAGCATTGACAAATGGGACGGCTGTTAAATCTTCAAGGCAAAGATTAACAGTAAACTTGTATCGTTTCTTCTTCACCATGAATGACATTTTGACCCTGTACATGAGTATTAATGTTAGTAAAAGCAATACAATTTGAACAATCACACATTTCATATGTAACAAACTAATATATCACAACTTGTTGTAGAGATCAATCAAACAAAATGTATATATACTTACTCATAATGAAATAATATATTATAAGATGTAGTGACAATGAAAGGGAAAATCAAAATGCATACTACAACCATTAATCATGTCAAATGAGGGTATGTGTCTATGTGCGTATTTGTGTGTACGTACAGCTGTGCAAGGCACAACGAACAAACATTGAAAAGTAAAAAATATAAAACTGACGGAATTGACCAACGATGACAAGTTTGTGACACCAATGATATAGGTAAGTTATAAGTACAATACCTGCAGGAGTGTCTACTCGTTAGGCAGCATAGACTTCATATCCTGGAAGTTTCTTGACACAAGAAGAAGAAACACACTGCAACACTCAATTTGTTTGTACAGAATGTGATAAATGTAAAAAAATGACTATAGGCGGTTCCCTCCCGAGCACACAAAACGATAGGAAAACTATTGTAAAAATTAAAAAATGCAAAATGTTTAGCTAACGACCGACGACGTGCGATTTTGCGGCTACAGCATAAATACACACTCACATTTCACTGATACATATTGTGTGCAACGTTCACATACGTATATACATAAAATATAATATAAATATTAAATATGTAATATGTATAATATATTAAACATCATTTAATTGCTACTCAGATCCCTACGGGAAAGTCGACGTCGCCGTCGGGGCAAAACAATAACACTTGACAACAAATAACAATATCGGACGGATGGCAACGACTGAGACAGAGACACCGCCGCCGCCGATCATATGTTTTTCATTGCACGCGTCAACGCCATCTACCCGACGAGTTCCGCCCACGTTGCTTTATTTATAATATTATTTTAGCGCGTTGCCGAGCATAATACATCGTATAGGGTAGGACCACGGTTTAAGACATAACTTAAATTAAGATATACCTTAAACCACGGACTAAGGTATACTATTTTCTTAGTCCGTGCCTTGAACCCTGGATAGGACCATTGATTTTTAAGACTAACTATATAAGTGTGGTATAAGGCTGACGGTACCTCAGATACATTCAATTGTATACATCTGTGAACGGTACACATCACGGACGGTATGTAATTCTTAGTCCTCAGACATAGCCATCATACGACGATGGACGTATTATATACGTATATACCACGACTACAACAAAAGAGAGGCGTAAATGTGGATTGTCAAGAAATATAAATTAACACGTATTTATATAATTTATAATTTATTATTTATTATTTACATCCAAAGTTTGGAAATTATTAGGGGCTTCCGCTTCAGGAGTTTTTAGAGGGCTAAGCAGTAAGCCCCCCGCCCAAGTTCTTCTGCCCAATTTACGCCTAGAAGTTTTATCAACAATTTTAGAAAAAGATAGGTAGCATAGGGACACTTAAGATCTCATATTCCCATCATAACATGCACAATTGCACAAGTATAATTATATAAATATCTCTTTCTAACGATGTTGGCCCGTGGCAACCCCAGGCACGTCCTCGAGGGGTGCGAAGGGGCATTTTGCCATTTTCATGCTTGTTGACTAGTGATCCAAAACTTGCGATATTCCAACATATCTGCACCCACTACACCATCCAGTGGCGAGTTTAACGAGGGGGGGAGATAGGGGGCATTTTCTCTCAAAATTTTTAAATTCTTTAGACGGCATTCGTATACATGGAGGTAATTCGGATTCGGAAGTCATATTTTGGTTTTTTCGTAATACATTTATGTACTTATGTATTTATACAATTCTTCTATCAGAGATTTTAAATTGTATTGAAATATTTAAGAATTATATGAAATATATATTTTTTAATAATAATAAATGTGTAACTATACAGAAATCTAATTAAGTTAGATTCGAATTCGGAATGAATTCATAGGTACTCCGTTGCTGTCGAGACTCTATGGACGAGGACACGAGCCTATTATTACACAGCTCTTGTAGTACCTAGTTAATAATACTTATTATTTATTAACTATAGATAATTCTATCAACCCTAATATGGATATTGCTGTATTTTACTATTACGATTTGTGGGTACCTCAGACCCCAGTACGGTGGTACTCCCAAAATTGTGAATTCGTGAATATAGGACTCAAGTATAATTTTCCCTATTATGGTGAGTCATTAATTAATTTAGTACATTATGAAATACGTGTTTTAAATTTTAAAAGAATATAATATTCCAATATTAATCAATTTCAGATTCATTCCTAACTTGGAAAATAAAATATTAAAACCATTAGAATATGTTTGGACTGTGAAGAATCTTATTAAATGATATATAGGAAGGTACCTAAAAGGTTGTTGTTTATATATATTTCATTTTATTAATTTATCATACTTCATTACTATTGCTTAACAGTTAACATTAACTAACATACTTCTGTAAATTTAATATGTTATTATGTTAACATAATGTATATAAATAAAATAGGTTTATACATGTATTTTCATGTACTTTATAATACCTTCCAAAATCTACTATTCTACTTATTAAGTCATAAACGATTATACAACTCAAGACAAAAAAATGTTAATATAATTACTCAATACCAATATCTTTTGAAGTTTTTATTTAAATATCCACAATTATTAAACAATTTCATATTCCAAGTTAAGCAATGGCCAATGGATAATATTCTGGTTTTATAATGATGTAATAATATATATATTTATTGAATAATGAATATATTATGATATTTGTGCTTTTTTTGTGTACTATAACTGTCTATGTATGTACCTAGTATGTGGACATGTGGGTATGTGGTTCCATTTTTGAATTGTAAAATATTAAATAGATATATAAATGTGTCATTCATATATTAATAATTACTCTCTATATATACTCTATAGATCAGGAATGTCCTCTATCTACTTGGTATTTTATGCAGGAAATTTTGTGAAATAATCAATTTCTTCCACACATAAAAAATGAGTTTATATATTGACAGCATTTTACAAAATATAAATTATACACAATTAACCTCGAAGAATTGTTTCAATTATCGATTAAATTGTATGTAGTTCAATTACATACATATAATAGTGGTAAGCCCATCCGAGTCATCCAACCAACACAAGTCACAAATATTGTATATTTTGTCCAAGGACCAATTAACAGTTAAGTAGAAGGTAGTTTTTTCGTACTCCGGGAGGGGGGGCTCCACCTTCCGCAACAAACTGCGTTACATCTTAACACGACACTAACGCCATCACTCACCTTTGCTTATGTGTCTTACTACTTCTTGTTTATTTTTCCAAAGACCACTTTGAACCATTTTTTTTCGTTATTATCAATATGTCTTATTTTTTATTTCTTTTGTTTCTAAATTTTAAACCACGCTTAACAATTACATTTTTTTCCGTTATAGGTGGCTCAAATCCAGTTTTTGACTTTCCAGGTTTTACATATACTTAAATGAAACAGCCTTGCCCCACCATCACCCCCAACTTAAATACCCTTAAAATATTAATTTTTTTCTTACCCTCTTTCCTACATTCAATGTATTATAATGCATCTATCTATTACTAAAATAAAAAATATTTTTACTAAAACAAATTACAACATTTAGGATTGATGTAAGTACTTATATTATATATGTATAATATATTATACTTGTAACCGTCGATTGAAAATTGCAAATTTACAGAAAAAAAAACAATACTATGAAGTAGGTATCGACTATATTCTAAACAAATTGAAATGTTATCAAAAGGTTATGTACTGTAAATTATAATTAGTAATTAGTAATTACTAATTCGTAATAGTATTATTAACCCTATAAGCCAGTGGTTGTCAACCTTTTTGGGTCCACCGCTCCTTTTGATTTTGGAATAAAATATACGGCTCCCATACATTTTTTTTTTTGAGATTTATTTTTTACAATTAAAAATTGAATACAATAATAATAATTTTAATATTTAATGGGATGGCTGTGCTTGTTTTTGTTGCATAATATTATCGAATCATGGAGAATTTTGAAAACGTGATTCTCATTTCCTTTTCTGTATTCAATCTTGCTCTTTATTTAGTTTTAATAACTGCTAAAGCCGAAAAACCCATTTCACATAAGTATGAAGAAGTAAATGGAATCATATCCCTGGTAGCCTTATTGGCTACGGTCGGAAACTACTTCTTTATAGCTATTCAAAATTCTGGTAAAGATGATGATGCAAATTTGGATTTTGATACTGAATCTGAGGATAAGTCTATCAATTAGCTTGTTCAGAAATATAAGATTAGATTAGATTATTATCTAGATCAGTAGTGAAAGGATCTTTATTCTTTAATCCAATTTTTTTTGTTTATCGTCCTCGGGAAAATAATTTTGGAAATGAACAATGAGTTGTGATAAGTATTCTACGAATAATAATTTGACAGATTCTATCAAGTTTAAATTATTTTCATGAAGGAACATAAACAATGTAGGGAAACACAGAAACAGTAATTTAAAGCACCTTCGTTAATTTTATTCTTCCCCAAAACTAATTTCCTTTTAAAATAAGTAACTTTTTTAGTTAACTACAAAATGTGGATCTAATTACCTTGTATGTCACATGAGTGCGATAGTTTTATTAAAAACTTTATTTTCAAATTTTTCAAAATGTTTTTTTTTTGTTAAAGAAGAAAAAAAAGAAGTTTTTTGGAAGTTAAATTACCTAATTCACGGTTATCGCCGGCCGATCTATCTCACATGCACGGACGTGCAGCATGTATTGGTGCGCGAAATTAATGGCCTCAAAAAAAAGATAGCAAAAAATATATTTAATATTATATTAAAATTTAATTTTTAGTTTCAACTGCGAACACAGCGCCCTTGATAATATCCGACGAAGCCCCTGGGAGCCGCGACGCACAGGTTGAAAACCAAAACCACTGCTATAGGCTATATTATTATGTTCTGTTGGCAGATCCGATATCTACTTTGCAAAACACACGAATAATAATAATCATTGTTTAAACTTTAGAAATTAATTTCTTTAAACAACGTTTACTGAATTTTGTAGGTTAGATACGAGTATACGACATTGGTAACTTACGAAGGATGCGTCAATAAAATACACATTTTTATATAGGTAGGAGTTAATTTTGATATTTCAGGAAATAAGTCCTTCCAATAAGCCCATCCCTCAAACTGCAATTATATCTAATGAGTAATAATGGTTATAGCTTATTATGAAATCAAACAATTTCTGTATGTGTTACTTTGAGCTATATAAAAAATTTCATTTGAGCCACGCTTATTGTTATACTATTAAAATTAGGTAGGTACTGCTTGCAGTCTACACAACTAAATATTGTTCCTTATTTTTCTATATTTTTATTTTTATTTATTTCAACAGAATAATAGGCCCCACTGGGTCCATTGAACATGGCTCGTATGGGGCCCATGAATAGTTAGCCAACAATATTTTTGTTACGTACCAAATCTCATTAAAATGTATTAAGGTGTTTGCCACGTGAAAGTATAAGTTAACCGGTGTGGACTTGTGGTGACTCTTATGAAATATAAATGGAGGTATATGTATACATATATATTATATATTATTAAAAACAAGGCTGATGCTTTTCTTGGTAATAATAATAATATTTTGCAATAATCAATAAATATTTAAATACTACTTTTAGACTAATTGGTAGGTATCTATATAACTACTTTTTAGATTACTTGAGTTGAGGTATTCCTTATATTTAAAAATTATAGAATAATGATTTGTTATTATTCGTGTATCAT